GGAAGTGGCTTTAGTTTCTCAGTGCAGTGCTTTAACCCACTGCGCCACCAGGGAGGGCCTCTCATTTTTTTTTTTTATTCCACGTTTGCTATCATGATTCAGTGAGGGTCACGTGTATTTTATCTACATATTGATACTGGGTTTGGCCATTTGACTTTCTTTGAGCAATGGAATTCGATCAAGAGGGTAAAGTGTCAGTTCTGAACCCAAAGCATGATATGCTTCTCCTCATCCGCCTTATATTTGTGCCTCTAGCATCAGAGAGACATGCCTAGGTTTTTGTTGATCCCAGATTGAAGGACATATAAGACAGATCTGAGTCTATCTAGCCTACAGGCTGAAACACAACCACCCTTGCAAACCCACAGATTAGAGAAAGATAAGAATAATTGATGTAAGCCATTGAGATATTGGGGATATTTGTTGCTCATTTTATAGCAATAGCTGACTAATACAAAGTACTATTTTAACATTTATAGATTTAATCATATGACATCTATCTCCTTAGGCCTAGATATATGGTGAATTATTGGAATGGATTCACAAATATAATGTATTGTCTTATAATAAATCTTCCTAGGTTATGATACATACTTTAAATTTTATTTTAGATTCACTTGCTGGCATTTTACTTAATATTTTCCCATTTCTAGTCATGAGTGAGATTTATAGTTTGATGTGTGTGTGTTGTTAGCTTCATCAAGTTTGAACATTAAAGTTACAGTTGTTTCATGAAAAATCATAGGAGAACTTTTTTTCCTGTTCCAATTTAAATAGCATTGGGATTATCTGGTACTTGACGATTTGATAAAATATATCCATTAAATCTTTTGGGTCCAGATTTTATACTTAGTTCTTTGTTAATACTTTTTTTTCCTTCAAAGAAATTTGCCTATTTATGCCTCTTATGTGCAGCTAGTTGAATTTTGTTAAATTGTATTTTCCTAGAAAATAATCCAATTCATTCAGGTCTTATGTTTGGTTTGTTTAGTTATACAAAGTAACATCTTACCATTCTTTACATTTTCTCAGTTTCACTGGTTGTTTACTTTTTTTGAATTTCTTATTTGTGTTTTCTACCTTCTTTTATTGTTAGAGTTTATTATGCTACATTTTTACAGGGAATCAGAATTTTGATTAGTTTCAACCAATTTTCTGTTTGCTACCTCATTTCTTTTGCTTTTATCTTTTCCTTCCTCATGCTTTATTTTCCTTTAGTGTGTTGCTTTTCTTCTCCTTTTAAAACTGGAAACCTAATTTATTTATTTTCATTCTTTATTTTTTGCTGTAAGAATTTCAGAGTGGATTTTCTGTGATCACAAATTTAAGTATCCCCGATTGACTTTATATTCTTATTATATTTCCTTTCTTAGCAAATCTGTCTTTGAAAAAAATTAAACCTTTTGTTGCCAGAGTTGTTTAACAAAGAACTTTTAAATTTCCAAATGGAATTTTTTTTTAAAGATTTATTTATTTTGCACATACAGAAGTGGGGTACAGGTCAGAGGCTCAGGGGCAGCGAAAGGCTTCACCAGAGACAGAGTGGGAGCAGAACAGGCAGATGGACGAAGTACACTGCTGAGGGGAGCAGCGGGCGGGTCAGGAGAGGTCTGCCACGCCATGTGGTCACCTCCCATGTGGTCACCTCCGGAGCAGGCGGGGATCGAACCCATGCGCAAGTGGCCTTTGCTTCTTAGTGCTGTGCTTCAACCCATTGCGCCACCAGGGAGGGCCCCCAAATGGAATTTTTATGGAAAAAGAACAGAGGAGCAAGACATGGAAATAAATACTCTTGCTCCATTTCAGGCTTCTAGAAATTATGCTTGTAGTAAAATGGAAGTTTTGTATTATTATCTGAAACTGCATTTAAAAACTTTCAATACATCAACAAAGAATAAAAAAGCTGTCAACACAAAACAGCTACTTGTTCTCTCTCTTTCCTCCAACCCCCATCCATCCATTCATCCATGTATAGCTATGACATCGATTCACGTTTTCATCCCAGGGCAAGAAAATATTGTTTATGAAGGACATTAATGGAGAGTGATCATAAATGATAAAGTTGATTTGTAATTGCACCCAGGCATACATTAGTTTTTATGTAAACTTTGCTGTAATTAGGTTTTCTGAGTGGAAGTGGTCTATAGAACCCTGTATGGTAGAAGATGTCTGGCTGAAGATCACCCCTGATGTGCCTCTTGTCTCCTTGACTAGGAACTTTAGTTCAGCCAGAAATTGTATAGATGATACAGCAGGGCCTACATTGCTTTCTATTATGTCCCATGTACACTCACTAAAATGGTTTAATTTATTAAATTGTTGGTTAACTATGGGAAACCAAATAAAAAAAGTAACAGATACCACCAAACTCTCTTTCATTTAAGATGTTAGATTTATTTGCAGAAACAAAGTATAATCACAACAAATCATACACTAATTTAAAAAAGTGACATAAAATTTTAAGTGACATAAAATCTTGTCTCTTTTGTTTGTTTCTACATAAATTTCTATTCATAGAAGAATAGCAAACAAAATGCAGTGATAGTTTGCATTTGTTACCTGGGAATTACAGACCAAACCCTGGAGGTTTTGGTTTACTAGATATTACTTTTGGTTTACAAAGCTGCACAACTGAACTCATGACCAAAACATCATCTACTTCTAGATCCACATACATAAACATTTACTACTCATCTGAGAAATAAGCACTTCAGATTCTCTCCCACCCTACTATAATGCATTTTTCATTTTTAACTAAAAGCACAGTAAAGAGTTGTATTTTTATTCTTTTAGTTGACCTCAGAAGATGTACTATCTAATTCATGAGAAACGCGAAATTTTAGGTGTGTATCTTCTTCCACACTCTTAGGGTCTAGGTCTAGCTTTTCTTCCTGGTTATGGAATTCTTGACTGTGGGAAAGGTGGCTGCTTTCTGGAGTTTTCTGACTGCTCTCATCATTTGCTTTCAGCTTATATTCTTGAGAATGCTCAAAGCCATTGTTCTCCAGACTGTCATCTCGTTTTTCAAAGCTGTCTTCCCCTTGGCTATCCACATCAGAAGTCGACTGCAGGTTCAGGGCAACCAGAGTGGCTTTGGGTCCATTACGCATCTCTCTGCTTTCCATTTGTGAAGCGAGGTCCTCCTTTGTGGCATCAGGATACTGAGGAACAGTGCAAGCGAAACAAGAATTAAATGAACTGTCAAGGACGGGGCTGTTTGTAACTATTTCTGCTCTCTAACTTTTACACACTCCAGTTTACACTAAAAATCACCTGAATTTGACTGATGTAAAAAATAACACTTGCATGTTATTTTCTATTTCACCAAGTCCTTTTACATAGGTCATCTTTAGTTACATGTGTGTGATGAAACCTTGAAGTATGTCCCATCATCTCTATTTTACATAAGGAGAAAATGAGTTGAGTGATGAAAAGTAAAGTGAATAGTAAATAGCCAAGTTATGTATTAAACTTAGATCCTTTGAGTATAGATTTCGTGGAATTTGAAACTGTACAACTGTTGTTTTTTTTTTAATTTCAAAATGTGATCTTTATATTATTAAAATAATCACTCTTTTCTGAAGTTATTTGAATTTACCAAAAGTGAGTAGATAGTATTGTGATTGAGAGATAAAATGAGGGAGAATTTACATCAACTTAAATAGAAAACCACCAGGCAGTAAAAGGTCTTGCATTTGATTGGTCCTACAGTCATAATGCTTGCTGAGTGAGTGAATGAATGAATGAGTGGATAATTCATAGACTCTGGTTTCCAGAAACTGCGTTCTAGTCATAACCATCTGATATGTCTATTATAGGGCTTACCTGGTCTTCAGCACTGTAAAACTTTATAGATTTTGATTTCAGCCCATATGCCACACTGTCACCTCGGCCATCATATGTGTCTCTTGTGAAGACAACTGGAGTGTAATCTACGGTTGCTGGAAGGTCGGTGGGAGAATCAGTGGCCATTTCATCAGATTCATCAGAATGGTGGGACTCATCAGAATCATCGCTGTGGTCGTCATCATCCGAGTCAGTAGAGTCCCGGCTTTCCGTGTTGTCTCCATCGTCTACATCGTCCACGTCATTGCTTTCATCGGACACACTTGGGAGACTCTAAAACCAGAAAGGTCAGAAATATCAGTCTATGAGCTTTTGATTTCTTTGGACGTTCACATTGTCGTCAGCGTTTATACCATCTTTTCAAATTTCTGCATTCACACAATGTACATAACAGCTTTTAAGACCTTAAAGTGAATATTTTCTAATTTCTCTTTTTAACACAAGAGATTCATAAGCTAAGAATTTTTCCTACAAAAAGATTTTCAAGCCAAACGGGTGAGTGTAATAGTCATATTGATAATGGTTTCTTTTATTTATATCAGGCACTATTTAATTAATTTCAATGATGCAATACATGCAGATGTGAAATATGAGATTTTTTTTTAAATTTATTTATGCATACAGAATGGGGGTACAGGCCAGAGATGCAGGTGTGGTGAGAGGATTCACCAGAGACAGAGTGGGGAGCAGAACAGGCAGATGGACAAAGTACATTGCTGAAGGAGCAGCGGGAGGGTCAGGAGAGGTCTGCCACACCATGTGGGTCACTTCCAGGGCTGGGGATTGAACCAACAATGAAGCAGGTAGCTCCCTTGCAGTACTGTTCTTTAACCCATTGCATCACCAGGGTGGACCTATGTTTTTTTTTTGAAATGAGAATTCTCAGGAGACTGAAGCTCCATCTGTTGATGTCACACTAATACCTAAAATCACCCTCCTATCATGGTTATGATGTAAAGGCAACGCATATTTATGTATAAAGTGCAGCTCAAATCTGTCCATTGGCCAGTTAATATCATTAAACCTCTAACTCACAAATATACAGGTATATAATTTTACTTTTTTGAGATTCTTAGCATATACAGACATAATCTTAAGGAAAGCAAATTTCATTGACTTTATGTAGTAAATATATCAAAGGTCCTAACAGAAATATTAGTTAGCAAATAAACCATTATGTTCTTAAAAGCAAAGTTTTGATTTCGTGCTCATTAATTAGATACTTAGCAACTACTTGGTAAGGCATCTATAAGATATCTTTAACTGCAAGAGGCTTAATATTTCAAACAATAGACATTGATAAACATATTCTGTCACACTTAAACTTATCTGCAAAATCCTGGTATTTCTGACAGTTAGTGAATACATGTTTTCTTTCTGAGAAATATTTCAATGGGAAATTTATTGGAAAAGGAAAACTTTCTTGTGGAATTTTGTCTGTATCAAACCCCAGCAATGTCATTAGGAGAAAGAATAGCTTTTTCCATTTCTCTAAGGCATGATTCAAAATGTTTCTCTGATCTAAAATGCAAATTTCTTTCTGTTTGAAGTTGCCATTTTTTTTTTAGTGGACACAATATTCTGGAGAAAGGACACAAAAATGTATACCATACATGTTAACATTTTAATAAAAGTTAACCTTTTCCGTTCAAATCAGCTCTCATTTTTTTAGCTTATTGGTGGTGAGAAGTCACCACGGCAGATCAATTGGTATCCTAAACTCATATTTACCATTAGGCAAGGAAGGTATGCTTAACCAAACTGATGGTTTGCTTGGTGGTTATTGTTCTTTAATTGAAGAAATTTATTTTTGTAATTAATTAAAATCAAAGTCCCAGGAGAACTTGCATTGAAATGGGTCAGGCTTTGGTCATTGTGACCACAGCATCTGGATATTTATTGTAAAGCTAACAATAAGGTTGCATCTTTGTTATCATTAAAAAAGAGAGAGAGAGAGAAAGAAACATAGGACTCTCTAAGCAATAAACTAAAAAAAAAAAAAAAGTATATTTCCATAATCTTTATGGATAAGCCTTATCTGCCCTGTATGAGATAACTAATATTATCCCCACTTTACAGGTCAGAAGAAATTAAACTACAACGAATTTGCTAGTAAGTGGCAGGGTTCAAGTTCAGGTAACTGATCTTAATATTACTTTTCTGTTCAGTGCTTGCGAGCTGAAATACAGCCCTCAGATAAAGCAAACCCAAAGCAGAGGTGCTTTAATAAGCATGGTTAATTATTTTTTCTGTGTAGCAAAGAGAAACTCTCTAAATGCTGTGATACTCTCTAGTCACAAAATATGCAGCCATTTAAATTTCTGTTAATTAAAATTAAATAAAGTAAAAGATTCAGTTCCCCAATTAAACTTGCTCCATCAATACAGTGTTCGGTAACCAGCTATGTTTAGTGGCTAGCATGGTACACAGTGCAGAAATGTAATATTAAAATTATCACATGTAAATTTCTACTGCTAAGGTACCTTTCCTTTGGTCAAGTGACTTCTCTGGAAAATTATTATAATATGCTAACGCAAAGATGTGGAAATTACTCTGAATCAGTGTCATCTGATCATGTATGGTCAGGGCCTATCAATTTATATCCCTGTCACTGAGAACTAGTGTTTCCCCCATAGCAAAGGGAGAGAGCTAGTCAATAACATCATGGGTTTCTTCAGCACTGGCTTTAACCACAGTAGCTACATAGTGGGTTTCTTTGAAAGTTCTTGACGAAAGAAAAGATTCCTTGCCTAAAAAAGTTGTGAAAACTGCTGTTCTAGATCAGTCCAATGTATCCCTCTTTGTTTTCTTTATAAATATATTCATAGTTTAAATATGACATAAGATATATAACATCTGCAAAATATTATATATAAATTAGCATTATCTATACCCTACTTATAATACACATCCAGGTTTCAGGGAGAATGTATTTCAAAACATATTCAGTAATCATAATACTCACAGATAGCCAGTGTCCTTTTTCAGGGTTGTCTAGACTTTTCCCTATATCCTACTAGCTCTAAATATTAGAAGGTTGAAGCTTTCATGTATCTTCTAAATATCATTGATTTACTTACCCTGTGTTGATTTCACATGCCATATCTATTCTATTAAAAAGGCACTAGTGGCCCTCCCTGGTGGCGCAGCGGGTTAAAGCTCAGCACAAAGAAGCTTAAGCCACTTCCACATGAGTTCGATTCCTGCCTGCCCGGGAGGTGACCACATGGCGCGGCAGACCTCTCCTGACCCGCCCGCTGCTCCCCTCAGCAGTGTACTTCATTGATCTGCCTGTTCTGTTCCCCGCTCTGTCTCTGGTGAATCCTCTCACCCTCTGCATCTCTGGCCTGTACCCCAGTTCTGTATGAATAAATAAATAAATCTTAAAAAAAAAAAAGGCACTAGTTCTTGCCACAAATAGTGTAACCTCTATCTCTCTACAAATGCTATTTTTTTAGCTCATTATTGTGATTCACATCACATAAATCACCCCACATGCGCACCCAAATGCAAGCAGCAATACTTCTCTTAATGTCTTCGTTAAACAATCTAATGAATTGAGCTCTCTCTCTGTGCCTTTTTGTTCAAGAGCCTCTGGACAATACCCATTTGTTATGCGACTGGCACAATTTCACCTATTGTGGAGGGCAGGTGCTTAAGAGTTTGCTCTGGTCTTATGTTTGGCTAGAAAAATGTGATCTAAAGTCAGCTGACAAACACAATCAATCTAAATGGCATAAATTGCTTTCTTTTTACAATGAGCTACTTAGCAGACATTTTAGATGTTGTGAATGTTACAGGCACAGGAACTATCGAGTATGTGAGTTGAAATTTAAACTTGACTTTCTACTAAGCAGAACAAAGGCTGTGTTGACTCCTGCAAACAGAGTCACATAACTTCATAGAACTCATTTAACATGTCAATGGTCTATAGAAATATCTTACATAATAAGATCGCATTTAAAGAGCATATATTATTAAAAACAACATTGTGCTTGGTACTGGCTAGATTCATAGCAGGCAGCCAACAGGTACTTATGAGTAACAGTCAGCTGTGAAAATGAGCACAGACCGCCACAAATACATTTTTAGTGCACCTTGTAGTTATCAAACTATGAAAAACCTCAAAAATGCTTACCTGCTCTTTCTCAGAACTTCCAGAATCACCCTGCTTAACCTTTGAAACAGAAAAGTTGAGAAAAAGGTTACTATGTGAAGTGTTCCTAACACACAGAGGCACCAAATTCATTTATTTTGATAAATTTTAAGATTCAGCCATACTCACTGGGAGGGCAGAGACGATGCCTAAGAGGCAAAAGCAAATCACTGCAATCCTCATGGTAGTGATTTTTTCCTGCAAAATATTTTATAAGTAATATTGAATATTAAAACAGTGATACTTTTTTAGGCTATGACATTACAGAATAATCACTCAAAATATATTTTCTGTAGACTATTCCACTTCTTAGAGAAATGTTTTCTTTTTTTAATATTATGACATTTTGAGTTAATATTTGTAATGCCAACTCTATTATCCATCTCTCACTTAGGCAAAGGAGAGAAGGACTTTACAAGTCTGTATTTGTTCAACTTTAAAATTCAGAGTTCCAGAGATGTACCATTGCTACCAGATACCTGATATCTCCAGCTATCTAAACCTTAGAGCAAATACATTTAACTGAAATAACATTCACTGCAGGAGTATTGATTTTTCAGGAAAGAAAAACAAGAAAAAGATAAAATAAAACTGAAAGAAAATTTGCTTTCTCCTTTTTCCAGCATGCATTGCAGACTTGTCTATTCACCTAAATTATTAAAGAGGTAAATGGTAGCTATCTTAAAGTCAATTTTTTAAGAAAGGTGTTCTAGAAATTTGAAGCAGAAAACATTGAAACCAATCAATAGCTTTTCAATTGTAACCATCAAGCTATAAAGTAACATGCAAGCATTTTTAGTGAGATTTTTAAAAGCTAATTATGGAAGTAAAATATTCAGAAAGGATTTTTCCCCTTGAAGATGGAATAAATAAAATCATTAAAAATAGAATTATCGTTGGCTTACATTAGCACTAGAGAAACTTCACTTTAAATGTCTCCACAATCATCTATTTACTTAAAATGACATAAATACAATCATTCAAAAGGAGCATGAAACTTGTCTTTTTTTTTCCTAGTTAGCAGTAATTTAGTTTTCTGGAGAATTCGGAAAATATTTTTAAATTTTATATTAGACTGTCTTTCCAAAAGCCAGTCACAGTTGTATTTCTTCCACAAGCCTCTAAGGTATCTGGCAGGCTTGTTCAGAACACTAGAACAACTTAAATCTGATTAATAGCATTATGGTGAAACATATTTCTTCTTCTTCTTCCAGCTTGACCTCCCTGTGAAACAAAACTGAAATCACAGGACAACAAAGGCACAAATAGCAGACTCACCTGGGCCTGCAGCTGGCAGAGAAGAACCCGTCTCAGATGCCGGTGCACTCCTGCCTCTTCCTCTGGCTGCAGGACCTCCCAGATTTTAAATACTGCTCCAGACTTTCTCCACCAACACGGGGAGGCGGAGGGATGTGTCATGAGGTTTCTTGCCACTGCCCAACCCTCTTGCTCCCACACTTCCCCCTCTGGTTTTGTGGTTAACAAACAAACAAACACACTACTCTACAGTTAAAACATGACTTATGTACAATATCATTAACTAGCTTTTATTTATGGATTAACATTCAGCATCATGGAAAGGCCCACGTTCAAGAGGAAATGGTCAGTTTTTAAACAGCATATGATTTTTTGAATAAGAAGAAACGGTTAGTAGAAATCAGTTCTAGCTAAAATTAAATGCAGTGGACTTTTTGTTCTAGTTTAACAAATTAGGGGAAAAGATGCAACTCCATTTGATTCACAATGACATTTACTCAAGAGCTATAAGGCTATTGTCTAGCACCGGGCACCCTCCCCGCTTCCTTTCCTGCGATGTTTATTTACTTTAGATCGCTTTTGTAATTTTAAATAAGCCAGTACCAGCAGCCGTAGGTGAATATTCAAGCCCGTTAAGTTGGATAATTGACCTTGCAAGAACACAGATTGTTGCTGTGCTGTGTGAATTATTCATCAGAGATGAAACTGGTAACTTGCAATATAAAGGAAAGTTGTGATCTCCCCTAAGCTGCTCCTCATTGAAAGCAGGGTATAGCCGCAGGGTGCTGCGGAGTCAGACAGCCTATGGCTGCGAGTCTCTGCACTCAGTAGCTCTGTGACCTTGGACAAGTCACTTACACCAAAATCTGTTTCCTTCTCTCTCAGATGCTCACACTTTCACCTTGCATGCAGAGTTTCTGAGAACTCCACTGTCTAAATTAGTTTGTGCCAAGCTAGCAATGTTTGGCACAATAATGTGCATATTTTAAACACTGTGTGTGTGCATTAACATTCAAATTCTTAGGAGGAATGAGCAATAATGGTAAATAATGTCTTTAAGTAGAAAAGATTATTAGAATGAGACTAGACATAAGATCTTTGAACAGGGTCTCTCAATAGGATAATTTGCATATCTCTAAAGAAATGGATTAGATTTCTGAATCATCTTTTTTTCCTAGCTTTTCTTCCAAGATATAACTTAGTTAATTAATAGAAACATTATAAAATTTGATATTAAAAATACCTTATTGGGTGTTTAAAATACTGGGTATTTAAAATGAAGTTTGACTGTTAGAATAGAAATTAAGGGGAACAGATTTCTGAGTCTATTTCAAATATTTAAGATTGTCTTGCATAAGATTAAAGATAAATGACCCTATTTATCATTAGTTCTGCCTAAGATAGCAACTCTTTTTTATCAAATATTGCCTTTAATACAAATATGGATTAAAATAATTTCTTGCAGTTCTAGTAAGTAATGATCAATCCATAGGTTTTAGGACTTTGGTAGGGTAATACATAAGTCTTAAATTGGATACATTCCAAATGAATTGATATTGATTTCTAGATTCTATGCACATATTTTAATAATTCAGACAACAGCCGTCTCTATAAAACATAAGGCACACAGGTCATAAGGTTGAAAATGGACTTCTTATTTCTGCTTTTCAAAACTGAATTTTCCCCTTTAAACACATTGCCCACATAACTTTGTCATATTTTCAATTTAGTGGAGGGAAGTTCACAATTTCTAAAAACAACATGATTTCCACAGGATTCACTAGTTTACTCTGTGCCCACGGGGAATGATTTAATATGAGTTTAGAGTTATAGGAATAGATTTTGCTGGAGCTCAGCCATTTTGGAATGAACCATACAACCCACCAGAAAATTCTTCAGAATGGCTCCAAAGTGCCACACGATGGCAGCGTTCTGAAGAAGATTTCAACCCTCCTTTGGTCCTATCAGTTTCTTATTGCAGCAGGAAGGAACTTTTATGTATTTCATGACAGAAATATAAACATAGTTGTGGCCCTCCATTTCTTGGAATGCCAGATGAGGAAATATTTCCCAGCAATGACCCACTGCATAACAACAAAGGACACAGGACAAAGGACACAGGACAACGGACCCAGAACATTCTTGTTTGACTCTGTAGTCGCCTGCAGCAATCCCAGGTGAACCCCATTGTCTCCTTCCTGACTTCCCACACTCCCTCAAAAGGTTACTGATCCCCAAGTCTCAGTATACAGACTTGTGAATTCATACTTGAAGAATGTGTCTGGGATGCTTCAGAGATGAGAAAATAAGGGGCTTGGCGTGGAGGCTGCTCTATAAAATATGAAACGGGCAGGGTCATCCTAGTGTTTGAAGAGGCTGCTGCTTTTAGCTTTTAATAATCAAACATGCTACTGTGAATCCAGGCTGCTAAAGGGGGTATAAAGGTTTGGGTGGGAGTAAGGTGGGGAGGAAGTTGTGCAGAGTGAGTAAATGGGTGCTTCAGTGGTGTGTATGTGTGGTGACATGCTGCTGAGGAGGTGTGGGCCTGTTCTGCTCATATGCAGTACTGTTAACCATTGTCACCAGGACAAAACCCAAAATTATGCTGGCACAACTTGTTTTTCCTAATATTTCCCAGTGATCAAAATTACTATATTAAATGATATAAGTCAGAGAGACGAAAGGATCTGTAGCATTTCCACACTATTTCCATTCTTGACTAGGCAAATACTTGGTTGTTAATATCCAAAAGGTTAAAATGATCAATCCCTTGGCGGGGGTGGGAGTAAGGGGTGAGGAGATAGAGGGGATTGTTTGATTGTGAAGGGGAGCTTTGGTGAGGGGGGCGGGTGAAGTAAGTGCCCTTGTGGAGGTGTCTAGCTGTGCACCTGAAATGATCTAGTTGAGTAAATGAAAGTTGAATTAATAAAATCTGATTTAAGAAATATTGTGTTTGGAAAGAAAAAAATTTAGTCATTAAACTGTAAAAATGTGGTCTGTGATAGTAAGATAATACATGCTCTAAAAGGAACGTACAAAGAACACCATGTTATTTTTCTTGAATGACATAAAAATTCTCATATAATATGAAAATTTAACTGTCCGGATATCATAGTTTTGGTGGAATTTATTATATTAACTTCTAGATTATTTGAAATTTTCTAATTATGTTCTATTTTTATAGAGTCAACTATTTCCACTCTTTCTGTTCTACAAAGAAATTATTTTTTTTCCCTGAGTGAAAGTTCAACTAGGTATCTGGTATCTTGGTACCATCATCAACCCATCATATAGAAGTTGGAAATTATCACTAACCAGAAGCCTACCACAATATTCACCATTTGTAGTTTATGGAAGAGGACATTCTTTACTAGGAGAAAGATAAAAGTAGAGAATAACAGTATTATTTTTAAGTTAGGACATGAAATTTGAAACTTTAGAAGTACAACCCCAGGCCCCCTCACAAGTAAATCTTTTATTCTATCACTCGATAACTCAGACAAAATTCAGTTCATGAAAAGTGGCTTTGCTATTGGTAAACATTAATTTTACTTGAAAGAAAAGTTTAGTTTGGACCTATAGATCTATTAGAGAGGGAGTAAATATTCAATAAATCGTTAGTGATTGACTATTCAATTCTCCATCCATAACAACTATTACTGAGGATATGGTTTATGTTATGAATACAATGTATGACACTATGCTTGATTATATATGGATAAATAATATCTGCAGATAAAGTATTTATTAAAATATAATCACTAACTCTGGGGGCATAATAGAAATATTATAGTTTTTTTTAAAAAAAGATTTATTTATTTATTCATACAGAGGTGGGATACAAGCAAGAGGTGCAGGGGCCGCGAGAGGCTTCACCAGAGACAGAGTGGGGCCCAGAACAGGCAGATCTACGAAGTACACTACTGAGGGGAGCAGCGGGCGGGTCAGGAGAGGTCTGTCGCACCATGTGTGTCACTTCAGAGCCGGGGACCCAACTCTCATTGGAGCGGCTGCAGCCAGCGTGCAGTGCTGCATCCTTACCCCTTGCGCCACCAGGGAGGACCTGTGATGTGGTATCTTATCGTGATTTTGATTTGTATTTCCCTGATGGATGATAATAGAATTTTTTTTATGTGATTATGAGTCATCTGTGCATCTTCTTTGGAGACGTGTCAACTCAGATCTGACCACTTTAGTTAATTGTGTTATTTCCTTCCTTGTTGAGTTTCATGAGCTTAGATTTCAAATATTAATTAGTTCTTTTTGGGATATGTGATGTACAAATATTTCTCCCATTTGATAGAGTCTTTTTTCTAATGATAGTTTCTTTCTTTTTGCAGAGATTTTTAATTTGATATATTCAATTTGTTTATATATATATTTTTCCATTTGTAGTTGAGTCTCCAGAGATACCACTGAAGTGTTATGGAGTGTTTTGCCAATATTTTCTTCTGTGTATTTTATTGTTTCAAGTCTTATTTCCAAGGCCTTTTTTTTTCTATTTTGAGTTAATTTTTGTGTGTGATATGAGTTGGTGGTTTAGTTTCATGTTTTTATACATGACTATCAATTTCCTAACAAATAGAATTTCCTTTCTTCTTGATATAGTCTTGAATCTTAAATTGCAATTTAACTGTCTCTATGAGTGTGGATTTATTTCTTGGTTTTCAATTCTGGTCCATTGCTTTTATTTAAAGATCATACTGTTTTGATTGCTATTTCTTTGTAGTATAATTTGAAGGCTGGGAGTGGAATACCTTTTTTTTTTTTTTTGGGTCAGGATTATTTGGTTCTTTGGGGTCTAGAAAATACTTTGGTTGCACAAAGTAATCAGTAAAAGGCATTTTACAGAGTGTATTTGAGGAGAGAAAAGTATTCTTTGAAATCAGTTTATGAGAATTCTTAAAGATTGGAGGTTTGAAAACTTTTCTTAGAGAATTCATTATAAGGATGGTACAAAAAAAGTGGTATTTCAGTGCAGAATAGGAGAAAATCAGAAATATATAAGAATTAGACAATGAAAGAAGCAGATAAATTAGATATATTTCTAGACATACTTGGCAAAGTTTTTTTTTGCCAGCTCCTATTAAGAAATAACACATTAACTTTAGTGATTAAAGTTT